AGGTGACTAAGGGCATCAGTATCAAATACAATATCGGAAAATTTTGAAACTTCGAACAAGCCCCATTCTTTCACGGTAAAACTAAAGCCATATACTAAAGCAGGTGCAAGAAAATAATTAGAATCCTTATTAATATCATTCGCTTTAATATAAATATTCTTTTCTTTTAGCATCTTAACATCGCATTTATTTGGTGGTTGAGAATAGCCCATATTATAACCAGGATTCATAGTAGCAAAGCTTTGGAGATCAATCATTACACGACCATCAGCTTTAAACTTTTCTATTCGCATATTTCGCTCGCGCAATAGCGGGCCCTCATAACTCATAAAGTGGTGTCCTGAAGCTAAATTAAAAAATTGTTTTCCGTTTGCTATTATGCTTTCCTTGAGGAAGTCTTGAGCAGTTGAAAGTTCAATTGGGACAACAGGTAAATCTGAAAAGCTCACTTCGCCTTCGAACATATCAATATCACGCTCTAATTGACAATGTTTAAATCCAACACTATCATAATTGATAGCATCAATATATATCCTAAAACCAAATTTTGTTTGTTTAGTCGAAGTAATAATACCTCCAATCTGCTGACCAGATATCGCACAACGACTATAGATCAGACAAATAAGAAAATAATAATTAGTAAAATTACAATATAAAAATAAATTACTCAAAAAAAAAAAAATTATTTCAGAAAGTTAATACTTACTACCATATTTCCAAATTTTCAGTATAAAATACCCATAACATTTTATATGAAACCATTTTATTTGTAATCATTTTTTTCCGATTTGTTATAGTTTGCTTAAATTCTTTTTCAACGAATTGAATCAAGCGTTTTAGGTAGACATTACCATCCATATCAGTCAAGGTTTCTAATAAATTATTAAAAAATTACAAAATTAATTTAGTTAAAGCAACTACAGTCTTATATTAATAAAAGAAATTACTTACCAAGAGTATCTTTTAGCTTTTCTAGCGCGTGAAATAAATCTCGAGCGGCGACAGTGGGTTTAATACACTCATTATTCTCAACACTTTTATTAAATTTAGGAAGGATTTTTCTCAAGACGTTTATCAATAGTTGGGAGCTAAGTTCAACATAAGAATTTCCTTTGCGAGGATAAATGACCACAAAGGGACAGATGTTAATACTTTCAATCATCACTTTGCGTTGCATACTGCAATTAAGTTGATCAAAATATTCTTCAAAGCACGGCCATTTCCAGTCATCTATATTATCAGTTAAAATGGCTTTGAGTGTATCTTGAGTTTTTTCATCATCAGATTCTTCGAAAAATTATAAGTTTTTTCATCATCAGATTCTTCGATAAAATTACTGGAACTTTCATCATCAGATTCCTCGATAAAATTCATGTTTGATGAATAAGTTTTTGAGAGGAAAAAGAAAAAGTTTGAGAGATGATTAAGAAAGAATTAGAAAAAAAAAGGGTGGGAAAAACGAACTATTTATAAAAAAGAACACTACATTTATTCCTTTACTGCGATAACGGGATAACCTGTTGAGGCTACGAATTGTCAACAATATCCGGAATTATTTCACCCATAATGATAAATTTAGTTAGATCGACGATTTTAATGGGTTAGTTAGTCCGAATATAATTTCTACAACTGGTTAGATTCCACAGGATGCAATAATCATCCTACGTATAAAAAAAAAAAAAAAACATTATATGATTTTCCTTTTTTATCGTACAATTAAAATATTGACATATCGATATAAAATATAACAAAAATTTTTATTAGAAAACTAGTTGATTAAATAAATTAATAATTATTAAAACATTCAATTGCTAAATTCCAGGAAGACTTGAAAAAATCTTGCAAATTCCAATATAGTGATAAGATTAACTTTTTTATATTAATGTTTGTCGTCATTCACGAATTTGCAGAATTTGACCTTGTCAAATACTTAATGTTGCCGAAGGTCAAAAGTATTACGGCGCAATTGTGTATTTTTAAGTATTGACTAGACTATAAAGTGCGTCAGTTATTGTAAAGTCATATAGATAACGTCTAACCAATCTTCCCATTCGAAGATAGATTAGACAATAAAAGTATTTAAAAATACATAAATGGTAATAATGAAAATGATTTATGTACATTAGTTTCGTGTAACTTCACGTACATCAATTTTTTTTGACCAATATATTATTGAAATTTAGTCATGTGAAATTAGAACAATAAATTTCATTGGTCAAAAAAAATTGATGTTCATGATATTACATGAAACTGATATACAGTAAACACCAAAAGTAATACCCAATTTGCAGATTTAGTTACCTGCACAAATAAATAGGCTGTGTTTACCTCATTTTTACATTTTTGGAGCAATTTTTTTTTTTTAATGATTCTTAAACTTTCAACTAATATCTAGTAAGAAAAAAAAAAAAACCTCCAAAATGCTGCGTACTCAAATGACTAAAAAAGACAAAGGAATGATTCTTGCTTTATCAATAATATGAACTGAGCAAGTTGTCTATAAAATTAGTTGTAACCTCACAATAGTTTGACAGTTCCTTAATAAATACAAGAGAACCAAAACAATCAATAATTTACTACAGTCTAGATGTTCCTGATCCTAAAGAAGCAAGAAAAGACAAGACTTGTAAAAAAAGTATTAAGAACAAGATGTAAACCATTGTGTAACATTGTGAATAATCTTGACCTTCAATGCAGTATGTCAACAGCAGCCAGAGCTTTGTATGATGCTAGAGTTCATTCACATGTAGTAGTAAAAAAACTGTTTTTGACTAGTGTCAATATAACTACTCAGGAGAGTTAGTATAAAAAATTTAAAAACAAGAAAATTTACGATTGGTCCTGAGTTATTTTTTCCAATGAAACAAGTATAGAAGTTGGTAAACAATCCTATCAGATTAGAGTATAATGTCATAAAAATGAAAGATATAAAAATGAGTATTTAGTTCTGAGTTTTAAGAGTAGGAGAGTATTGTTAATGGTGTAGGGTTGTTTTGTAGGTGAAAACAAAGGGCTGTTAGTTTTTTTTGATGAATATTTAGAACCAAAACAAAAAATTAATAAAAAAATATATATTAAGGTCCTCGAAGACCACCTTGTACCTTACCTTGCTTCTGTTCATTCATTATTAGATCCAAATGTAGTGTTTCAGTATGATAATTGTCCAGTTCATACTGCAAAAATTGTTATTAAATGGCTTAAAGAAAAGAAAATTGAAGAATTAACATGGTCATCAAAGTCCCCAGACTTTAACCCTATTGAAAATGTTTGGAAACTGTTAAAGGACAATATTCAGAATCATGAAAACTTCCCAAGAAATGCTAACGACCTAAAGGCTGCAATAAAGGAAGAGTAGACAAATTTTGATGTGTCGATTCTTCGTGGTGTTGTAGACTCAATGCCACGAAGAATCCAGGCAGTATTGGATGTCCACGGTCATTCGACCAAATACTAACTTTTTTTTAAAAAAAATTTTATTGTATATAATAAAAAATAAAATAAAATTTGGTTTTTTTTTATTTTTTGTTTGATTTGCAAAATCGGGCGTTACTTTTGGTGCCTACTGTACATAAATCATTTTCCAAAAAAAAAAAATAGAAAATGTGTGACATTCCTTTATGAAAGAAATGAATAATTGACTTATGTTTTATCAATTGTTATAAGTTTCGTCATTCGTCATAGTTTCGTCAGGCATTATTTGAAGTTAACTAAAATTTGTACTAATCAGCATAAATGATATTTTCGAATATTTGTACAACAGATCATATTATTTAATCGTATAAAATTTTTTTTATAGAAGGCTCAAGAAATAAGTTTTCAATAAGGCCATACAAAAAAAAATTTCTTGGTTTACATAACCGGGTCGGGTCGAAAATTTCAAACTTTTGAACCTTTTTTTTTATATGTTATGATAACCGGGTTGGTTTTTTTAAAAAAATTAAAAAAAATTTTTATAAGATTTTATAAATAAACTTTGAAATATAAGCCAGGTTACCAGGTCTGTTTGAAAATTTTAAGTTATGAAAACCAAAAAAATATATTTTGTTTGGCCTAAGTTGACAATACAGCATTTTTTTTATATAACAAAATTTTAATTTTGGCTCAAAATAAGCCAAATTTTGAGCAAAATATGCAAATTCGAATCTGACCTATCGCGCGGCTTGCACAGAAGATTTATAAAAATTTTCGATTAGCCCATCCCTAGATACCGTTACACCAGGCCTTGCATAGTGCATATAAAACAAATAATTTTAGGATACTACAATTCTCTTTATACATTAACTATAAAATATCATTATAAAATTTTTTACAACTTAACATGATAACATTACCAAATGAATGTCTTATTGAAATCCTTAAAAATAATTACGGATGCTTATTTTCTTGTCTTCTTGTAAACCGTCAATGGTGCAGAAATGTTGTACCGATATTATGGAGAGAACTAGATTTATTTAGAAATGGAAAGCTTGGGAGAACATGCCTTTCATTATTAAACAAAAAAGAACAAGTTTTATTAGTGCCATTTAACATAATGCTTCCAAATAATCCTAAACCATTATTTGAATACGCTACTTACACTAAGATTATTAGGATCCGTACTTATGGAATGGAAGAATGGTTCAAACATGAAGGATGCCAAAACTTTCTTTACTCCATTCATTCGGAGGTAATTCAAATAATTCGAAATCTTTTAGTTAAAATGTTTCTTCGAACAAGTAAAGGCCTTATAAATTTGATTGTGAAGGCGAATATGAAAATTTATTAACAGACATTCTTAATAGCTTCAAAACTTTGACATCACTAACATTTTGGGATAATATTATTGAATCTGATGCTTGGAAAGCTTTAGCAAAAGCACTTTATAAAAACACAGCTTTAACCTATTTGTCTATTGAGAATTGTCAGCTTAATTCTGAAGTAGGAATAGCAATAGCTGATGCACTTTGTGAAAACACTACTTTGCTTTACCTAAATGTTCACAACAATCAGTTTGGTTCAGAAGTAGGAAAAGCATTTGCAAAAGCTCTTTATCAGAATGCTACTTTAACTAACTTATTTATTTCGAGTAATCAATTTGGTCCAGAAGGAGGAAAAGCAATAGCAGAAACTCTTTATAATAATTCAACTTTAATCAATCTTGATATTAGTAACAATCAAATTGGCCCTGAATGTGGAAAAGAATTTGCAAAGGTTCTTTATAAAAATACCACTCTAACCTTTTTAAATCTTAGTTATAATCAACTTGCAAAAGATGCATTCGCTATACATGCAGCAAGAGTAGAAGTAATTCTAGATGATTTAGAAGATTATACATATACTTATACTTATAATTAAATTTACATTCTATTCGACTTTATTCCATTATCATAATCTTATAAAGTAATTTGTATTTTTACCTCTTTAATGACATATTCATAATAAAGTGTTTTAAGATGAGGGTTTATCTTTAATTATATAATTTGAAAAAAATGATTCTAAAAATGGGTTAATAGGGAATATTTTTAAATAGATAATTAATGGATATATTCATTTAAAAATTCGAAAACAACATAGTCGTTGCAAAAAAAAAAAAAAAAATACGGTGAAAACAATATAAAATTTTAACTGTGTAAAAAAATACACAAGTTCTTCTTGACTATAATAAACCTGGATAAGTTTTTTATGAGTTGGAATCAGTGTTGGAAGTTTAACGTCTGTCTTATGTTCTCAAAGAGATTAAAATTTGAGAACATCAAAAATAAATAATAGTAATAATAATGGGGTATTACTGTACTATCTCTTTAAATTCGCAAAAAAAAAAAAAAATTATCTTATTAAAAACCTTTTTCATATCATTTTTATATTCACAAAGAAGCAAGATATTCTATAAAAATATATATCAAATTAAATGTTTTTAATAGGATGAAAATAATTAGTTTACATGATAAGGATTCATCAACAAAATATTAACTGCGTAGGATAATTTATTACAAAATCTATTGATTTTTTTTCGTTACTAATAGCATTTGGACAATTATTATATGAAAAGTCCGTTAATACTCAAAAAAAGTTTTAAGCGAGACTTGTGAGACCACTGCGACAATGACAGGAGGGTGGGTGTGGATCAGGCGCGAATGTGCCTTCTATGGGAACGTGAGAAGATATTTGCCTCACAAGAATACTCGTTAAAATTTTATTACCCTAGAATAGATCGATATTACCGTAAAACGCTTGCTATCATATGGATTTATTGAAGCATCGATAAATGTTATCATACATATTGTATATTTTATAAAAATATACACAAAAAACAACTACTTAATTTCAACACTTGATATTTTTTTAAATCGTCTTTGAACTAGTTTCAATAAACTTTTTTCTGGGTTTTTGGTTTCTGAATAACCTGATGGCCCGGTAAAGTAGAATGCAAGTGATCCTGCTATGATTGAGAGTGCAAGGTCACCACGTCTACCACAAATTTTGATATATGATTTAAATGTTAGTTTTAAGCATAAAAAAAAAATAATTTATAAAGTTTGTTATATGAATTACCGAGAAATTAAATAAGTATATCTTGCTGGTGGAGGTGCTGGAATCAGTGGCATTTTGGTTATACGTACAACTTTGAATATGTGTGCTTTTTTATAGATTAACATGATATAGTGTTGCACAAATGCATACGTAATCCATGTGTGATATGCATAGGGTGACTGGCTAGTCAGTGAAGTGACGTAATAGCATAATTGTGGGATCACGGGACTCTGTTACGTCATTAACGTAAGTCAAACGTAATTGTTTATAGTTACCAGGGAATTAATTTTCGAAAAAAAATGCAATTACGGCACTGAACCAAGATTTTACTGTATTGCCTAATGCTCCGAACGGGTCGGGTCGGGTTAAAACACTTTCGGGTTAGCACTTCAACCCAACCCGAAATTATTAAAGCTAACATAAGCTGCTGTCAATAGAAATCAAAGTAAATTTTTTTTGAAATTTTAAACAAAAATATTTCAATTTTAATAATTTTTTTTTTTTAAATTAAGTTTGTAGAAATTCATTTAAATAATTTTTTATTAAATTTAATTAAGTTTTTGTTAAATTATTGTTGTTTAAAGTTTCAAAAAAATTTCAGTAAAAACAATTTGCTTGATTTCTATTGACGACAGCCTACATATTATCATAATTCCTGGAGCGCCTGATAATTTTTCCGCTACCTGAAATATTCTGTCTCGTCCGGTAATTACCTAACCTTTCGAAACCTATGTCGCTGTCTTCAGACCTCCAATCCAAAGATAGCGATATAGTTTCCGAAAGGTTAGGTAATTTACTGGACAAGACTGGGAATATTTCGTGTAGCGGGAAAATTATCAGGTGTTCCAAGAATTATGAATGTAGCAGTAAATTTCAAAATGTCGCGGATGACTATCAATTGTGATTGGCTAAGATCAATTTTACTAATTAGTTAGAAATTTTAGGCGCAGTGTAGTCAAAAGAGTTTTGACATTTTTCATGTTTGAATCATTCTTTGATTCCATATGTATGAATCCTAATAACCTTAGTGTAAGTATCTAATAATAATTTTGGCTTATTTGGAAGCATTATGTTAATTGGCACTAATAAAGATTGTTCTTCTTTGTTTAATAATGAAAGGCATGTTCTCACGAGCTTTCCATTGCTAACTAAATCTGGTTCATTCCATAATATCGGTACAACATTTCTGCACCATTGACGGTTTACAAGAAAGCTTTTATTATTGTCTTTAAGGTTATTAAGTATTTCAAAAGACATTCATTTGGTAATATTATCAAGTTAAATTGCTAAAAAATTTTATTATTATAATTTTATAGATGAGGTATAAAGAGAACTGTAGTATCCTAAAAAATTCTCTGTTTTATATACACTATGCAATGCAACAGGTCAGATCGAGTTTGCTTATATTGCTCAAAATTTGGCTTATTTTGAGCCAAAATTAAAGATTTTACTATATAAAAAATGCTATATTGTCAAACTCATTTCTTGAGCCTTCTATTAAAAAAAATTATATACGATTAAATAATATGATCTGTTGTACAAATGAAAAATATCACTTATGCAGATAAGTACAAATTTTAGATAACTTCAAATGGTATTATTGATATATGACAGATAAATTAGTCAATGCTACTAATTTTCTGTTTATTATTATTATTTTTTTTTTGATATACATATCTGATATTACCTGAAGGGTCTGACAAAGGAAACTATCTATTTAAAAAAATATGTTTGCAGTACTAATAAAATTCCTTTAGCAATATAAGTTATTTTTAATACCAAAAAACAAAAAGAAAGTAAATATTTAAATATTACAATAAAATATATAGGATTAGTAATAATTTATAATATCTAATTTAATTTGAACTATTTCAAAATATCATAATATTAAGAAAATTTAAGAGAGAAATTTACAATTAAATATTTATGTTAAATTACTAAGATATTAGCAAATATTTAAATAATTTAAATTTATGAAATTTATTATTATAATATAACTAATAATATTCTATAGCTTTATATGTTCACCTGTGAACATTTCTGATAATATTTTTATGATGATGTAATTCAGTAAAAATATCAAAAATTATTCTATGAGCATAATATTATCAGTAAAAATTTTTAATTAGAAATATTAAAGGCATAGAACTATGAAATATAACAGATATTCAATGGTATGCTATGACATCATGTATTATTACAGTTTCACTATACTAATTTATGATATTTACAACAGCCTATAGAATATCTATTACTTATTAATTATGCAAATATATTTACAATATTTTAAAATTATTTAACAAAAATTAAAATTTATTTAAAATTAATTCAAAACTAAATAAAAATATATTAAAAATAATATAATAAAACATACAGATATATAAAAAAAAATAATCTTGTATTTCAATATATTCTATTATTTGTTGTTATTAGCTAGTACTTAATTCTTTCTGTAGATTCTCTGTTCTATTTATAAATTTTCTTAATATTGTTTAGAAGTATAGAAAAATCAATATAAATTGTTAAATATTTAGATATTGATTTTTCTTTTTTTGATAGCTAAATAATATGAATATTAAAAATTATATTAATTTAAATCTTTTATAATTAAATAGTTTAAATATATAATAATAATTACTCTTTTATTTTTAAAATAACTTACTTTTTTCACTTTGTATTTTTTGTCTTTGGGACTTCAACTATTTCAACTTTATCTTCTGTAAGAAATTTCTTACTAAAGATAAGAAGATAAAAGGCATATTATATAATAACTTGTTTTAATTATTTATATTATTCACAAATTTTTGAATTATATTAATTTTATTTAAAATTGTAATTATATTTATTTTATTATTATTTACTAAATTTTTTAAAGTTGATTTTTTACTATATTCTATTTATAACTAATTTTTCATAGTATAAGCTTTGTATAATTTGACAAATAAGTATTGTAAATACTAGCTTCATATTTGTAGATAAAGAATCTGATTAAACTTTTAAAAGTATTTGAGTAATATAAATATCTTTGGAAATATTTTTATTAATAGAAGCAAAAGCTTTTTATAACAAGTTTTAGTCTTTTGAGACAATTTCTACTCTATTATAGCTTGTAGTAAATTATAGGTATTTATTGAATCTAGTTGAGATTCTTTAAAGATATAAAATATTACTTCTTTTATTCTTGAAGTCAGAGCACTTTATAATAATCTGTGTTATTTAAAAGTTATAAAAATATTAAAAATATTAAAATTATATAAATTAATATAAATTATTTTAGATTATTATAAATTTATTACAAAATTACTAACTATACAACTCTCTCTGATAATCATCTAAACCAACTTTTCAAAAAGCTGAATTATAGAAAAATGATATAGTTAATATATTAACCTTTAAAAAAAACTTTTCTGAAGTACTGTACTCACATAGTTGGATATTGAAATAGAGTTAAAAAAAAAAGGTCACAGCTTTGTGAGATAGTTTAAAGTATTCTAGAACTATTAAAGAAGTAGTTGGATGAAAATCACTAACTCTTTCCGATGATCACTTGTACTAAATTTTCTTGAAAAAAACTTGCAATATTACAAAATTCTACTAAGTAAACTACTTTTGGCCACTTAAGTAAAGTTGTTCTACACACAA